TCTCCATTTCTGTTATCGATGTGAACATCTGTGGGAGATCACAATTGATTTGATCCCTTCCCAGAATCACCATTAGGACCAATAATTTGACCAGTTGCAGCTCCAACATTCCATTTCAAAATACGATCGTTCGAAAGGTCAGCAATGTGTAAATTATTATTGAAATCAACTGAAAAGCGATAAGGATAGGATAGTTGATCGAAATATGCACCATAGGCATTACCACCAGCGACAATTGTTGCATTTTGACATATGAATTGAACTAAAGGGGAACAAATGATCATAGTATTAATGGGTGATCACTAAGTTTTGGACCATCTGGAAGAAAATTATTTTTTCTTACTGCCAATCCAAAAAAAGCTCAAACTTTAACATTTGATTTCTCACAACTGAATGCTTATTACTGTGAGTTTTTATATTTCTATCCATGTCACCAAAACCGGTTAAATACCGCCCGGTCACCGTTCCGATACCAGTCTGTTACATTCCCGGTATACCACCTGCGGAACTGAAATTATCGCACGGTCTACCGAACCGCGCGGTATACCGGCCCATTGTACCAGCGGTATCAACCGGTATTTTATCAGCGTAAGCAAACAGTACAGGAGTTCGAATCTAGTTCTCAACTTTCTTTTTTTTGCAGTGCGCATGCAGCGCAATGATGCACCCGAACGGAAAAAACTCAAGTCGAAGTGCAAACTTCGACAACAGTCGTTCATTGAAGATCACATCGTACGACGTTGCTACTAGCAGATAAAGTGTGCGAAAGTTATTTTCTGACATTTTTTCTAGCGAATCTAAATTTGCCACATGCTTTCTTCACGATGAAAAGTGCCAATTAGCAAAAAAAATAGCATTTTCTCGCTAATAATGCGTTTCTCAGAAATTCATGGTATTTTAGGGGTATTCCATTTTGTTTAGGATTAAATTCTGAACACTTTTGTTCTCTCGGATGCTTACTTGATGAGATAAATCCTAATTATTATTACAATAGCTATTGTACTTTATCATCACATTGATACAAACTGTAGCTAAAAATCGGCAAAAAACCAAATATTCTTTCAAAACCTTCAGAAGACCTCCTGGAGATCGTGTGATGTTACCAATAGATTTTCCATGCTGGATTGACTATAGGT